ATCTGATACCAATGTGTCATTCATAAGTAGGTGTTGACAGGCCTTCTGTCAAAAATGTCTGTTTGTTATGTTAATCTGTCCTAATTTTCATATTTTTTCTTACCTACCGTCTGTATTTTTCAGTCATGTGGCGTGAGCAAATTTTGTTTTCCTGTTTATCAATGTCTCGTAGTGCAATAACTTTCGACACTCCTAAAAACCAGCCTGCGATCTGGTGATACGATCTTATCAGGACCAGTTGCTGCTATCACCTGGTCAAGTAGCGAGTGCTACTGAGTGGAAAGGGAAGCTTTGGCTGCCGCGTTGAGTTAGCGGAGACAGCGCGGTAGGCTCCTTCCGTTTTGTTCTATTCAATCTGATCAACTACCAGTCCCTCGGCCTCATTTACTGGACCGATTTGCTCGGCCCGCCCTTACGTTCCTCCCACCAGTTCTGGAAAGTTGAAAGTGAACTGAGTCGTCACTGGCTAGTGTTTGGCTGCACTGCATTTTAGATGTGGCCATTAACTACTCATACTTCGCTGAATTGTAGTATAGTGTCACGCGAAATAGTATTTAAAAAAAAAAACAGAAAACATGAACTAAATTATATTGGCGGATGTAAAGTATTATTTACTCCTATTTGTTTAGAAGCAATCGGCGGATGTCGGTTTTTGACTCGCTCTTTTCCTACCTCTCACCCTCAGACAGTTTTTCGTTGCGCCGCCATCCTTCGTGACATACCTGAGCAGCGCTGACACTCACCCGTCCCCTCTCTCATTCACAGCTCGCGGAGAAAGAGAGGCAGCTCGAGGTGATGGAAAAGGAGAATGAAAAGACCAAGTGCATTCGAGAGGCCGAGGAGCGCCTCATAGCCACTGCCTTTTACAACTACGTGAGTGACCGTCTCAGCGGCCTTCGGAAGGAGCGCCACGATCCGTAGCGGATCATCAACGAGTTTTTCGTTGATTTAAATCTTTTACTGTAAGACTCAAACGAATGGCTGGTACTTTTGCGCTCAGTGTTTGTGTTTGGTCGGTTTTGGCTCCATCCGTGTTTACACTTCTGATGGCTTGTTTGCTTGTTTTGTTGGGTTAGGCCCTTTCGGTCCAATGAGACCATTTCAGAGTAGGGAGGATGATAGGAATTAGGGGGAGACATTGGTGTGGGCAGGCACCCTAGTGAGTCACCGGGGCTGAGCCCATCCCGAAGGACAAGCCGACCAGCCCCAAGGTACCCACTGCACCCGGCTACGGGTGTGCTCCCTCGGGAGCAGCCCGCATGAGATAAAGTTGCTTTTTTTGTTGGGTTAGGCCCTTTCGGTCCATTAAGACCATTTCAGAGCCGGGAGGATGATAGGATATAGGGGGAGACATTGGTCTGGGCAGGCACCCTAGTGAGTCGCCGGGGCTGAGCCCGTCCAGAGGACAGGCCACCCAGCCCCAAGGCACTCACTGCACCCGGCTACGGGGTGCGCTCCCTCGGGAGCAGCGGTGCCGCTCCAAGGGAGCAGCCCGCATGAGATAGAGTTGCCTGTCCAGCCCGGAGTGGGGTTGCGGCGAGGAGGAGAATGATTTCAGTATCCTGAGGATAGGAACGACGGAACGGTGTCTTGATGGCAATATGTGAATGCTTGTAATACGTGCGACTAACATTGCGTTTTCGATCAGAGTTCGAACCCGTTTGACCAACCGTCCCACGCATCTCTATATTTCCATCTGGCAGGGCTCTCAGATGCATCGCCAGGCCGTGGAACAGCGGCTCTCCAACATCAGCGGCGGCCAGTCGTCATTTCTGGCCCGGCAGAGGCAGGCCAACACGCGCCGTCTCCATGGCAACAGGTAACCGCACTGCCATCTGTCGGCGGCGTGCGGAAGCTGGACCGGCGGCCGGCGCGGGCCGCTGCACCTCCTCTCTGTCAAGTGACATGGTGTCGGGCTGCGCGGCCAGTGCGGACGGATCTGTGCTTCGAGATAGTGACCACGGCTGCGGGCGACTATCTCTCATGTCTGATTTAGGCGCGAACCTTTGAAACCACGGACCTATTTTCTGTATTTCTTCTGCATGTAGTTTCTATTTTCGAGTTTCTCTTCAGGTGGATGCTCTTTTTAGTTTGGAGTCTTGGGCTCTTTCCAACAAGGCACTAATTGACCCAGCCTGTGATTAGAAGCATGCGCTTGCACAGATTTCACATCTAACAGCGCAGTGCTTTGACGGAGCTAACTCGCCATGAACTTGCACTATTTTTTTCAGAACGCTTTTCCGTGTAGAGGACGACGCTCTGTAGGGGCCGGCTGTGCACGTATCGCCGCTCCTGCCCTCAACTGCTGCATGCTTAACTTCAGACATTGGGCCAATGAACAGACCGCCTTGCAGCGCTCCCAGACAACACGAGCTGCGCCGGCATGACGCATGCGCACTGAAGATGATGGCAGGCAACGGACATTCGCGACTCAACTGTTCGAGACATGCGGCGTGGTATGCCAGTGTTTTGAGCGAAACGTATTGTAGTTTGAATCGCTCGCTAATTGTCCAATGCTAGACCAAATGTCCAGCCCAATCTTCATCTATCGTTTGCATCGTGACCAGCCTTTAATGCGCTATCGCTAGTTTTTGCGCTCGAGCTATGAGGCTAGCTGTTTGGCTGTTTAATTTCGCGAGTGGCTAGCTTGCAAACGGGCTAGTCAGGCTGAACGACATGGGGGCTAGCCTCAGCCGTCCAACAGGGCTAGCCGCGGCTCTCCAACAGGGCTAGCCGCCACCGCGCCGCGCGGCGGCCCGTCGCCTGTGCGGCTCACCGTTCGCATGTTGCCGTTTGCAGCGAATTTTACGACTACTAGCGGGCAGCGCCGGCGGCGTCGGCGCCTGCCCGCCCTGCCGTCCGACCGACCGACGGACGTCGCTCGTCCCCCGGCCGCCGACTTTGGGCTGACCTTGAGATGACCTAGGGATGACCTGGCGCGTGACCCGCCGCCACCGGAGCGGGTGCCAGCCTTCTAGTTCATTTTATCCACCCTGCTTTACTGGGTTTTTAGTGATCGGGCGAATGGTTGATGCCGTGCCTATCAATGATGACGGGTCGCGGAATACACTGGGGCCAATACGCACGACCTGTGGAGCCGCGCTAACATATCGGCCGCGCGCTGGTCGAGCCTGGCTGAGCTAACCGCCGCCTGTAGCTAGCGCCGGTGGGATGCAGGACTAGTCCGCGCCTGGCATAATGCGGGGACTGATCACCCGAGAGGAGGACTGTGGTGCTTCTCAACTGGCCGGCGCTGTAACTCACTCGATAGGTGACTCTTGTAACGGAGATGGCTCCCCGAGAGAGCCAGCCGAGAGCCGGTGTTCCTGGGCCTTGTCTACCAGATGTGCGGTGTTTTAACATTTTATGCAGGTTTGCGATGAGTCGCATTGTGCAGCTTTACGGGAGAGAATTGAGAGAGATTGAGGGCGATGATTGTCGCCGAGCTAACTGTAATGGGTGATTGATAATATATTTTTGGATTGCTGATGTTGAAAATCATTCCGTGGACGCTGGTGAGATGACGTGTATTGTCAATAAATGCTTTCGATGAGGGATGTGTTTGTAACGGCGAAGTTCAAGGTAAGTCACAGCTCTGAGTTTCGTGTCATGTTCGATGGGGATGGGAAATAATTGTTTGCTACAGTCGTCAAGTTATCTGTACATTGTAGACACCGGGGCCGATCATGGCGGCGCAACATAACTAGGTACAGGTGGTCGCCGCTAACGACATATGCTAGGGGTTGAACTAGCCCGGGGCGGGAGACGCTGGACGGGTATAGCCACAGTAATTTACCACTAGCGACCTCTGTGGGAAGAGAATGAATCTGGTCCTGGGCGGGCGTGACGTTGCACTGGCGGGTGGCGGGTGGACGTTCGGGGGAGGTAAATAGAGGGCATGTTTTTTTAAACCGCAACATAAATTGTGGCACTTTTTAATAATAATATTGTTTCAAATTATTGTAGGTTGTAAGTTATTAGATTCTGTAAGCTATAGGTTTTTACACTTGTATCGTTAATTTTTTGGTAATTCAGGGACGCTCGCTGCTGCATGCCCCGCGACCTATATACCATACCCCCCGACCGCCGACTACCTCCCGAACGGCCTCCCTACTGGCGCACACTACCAGCGACATCTATGGTATAGGATTGAAACTAGTTCTGGGCGGGCGTGGCGGCGCAGTGTGGCTACAGGCGCTTACCACTAGCGACACCTATGGTAGAAGGTTGAAACTAGCGTGGGCGAGTATGGCGGCACAGTATAGCCGCAGGCGCTCACGACTAGCGACATCTATGGCGAGAGAAAGAAACCAGTGGGCGGAGCATGGCGGCGCAGTGTAGCTCTCAAGATTACTACTACTCAATACTTATAGCCCCAGGCGCTAATGACAAGCGACGGGTCTATTGTTTATTCTGACATGACTAGAAAATATCTGGTGCCTGCTTAAATCCAAGGGTGAGCAGGGTCACCGCAACAAGCTTCGCTTAGCGAGCGCTCTGTCCTTGTGAATCCTTCCATTCAAAGGGTTCGGACAAAATTCATTAAAAAATAATTCCTGAATCTTTTAGTTACCCCTGCTGTTACACAGTTCAGGCGAAGTTATAGCGGACAAAGTAGGTAAGACCCGCAGACCTTGGTAAATCGGCATTTAGTGGAACAGCGTTACCCATGACAACGATATTGGAATAGCGTCCATACATAGAGTCCGTCCCCCAAATTGATCGAGTTTCCAAGCTTATGCTGCAAATGAAACGCCAGTTTTCCTCCGGGATTTTCCGTTAACGCGCGATTTAGTCTAGAGGCCACCAGAAAAGTATATAGGCTGTTATAGGCACGGGTGAATTTGCAGCAAGAAAGTTACTACCCATAGGTATGACTGTTGCTAGTGTCATCCCGGGTCGAGATAGTCAGTGATGATGCTTCACAGTCCCACTAAAAGCAGCACTGTGGTGACAACAGCTTAGCTACGCTTCAAGGTACAGCATCAAAACAAAATATCGGATTAAGTATTTTGACATACTTTATTAAAGCGCTGTTATGCTACACGTATATCAGTTACATTATATTGTCAACTTATGTCTGACATGATTGTCTCATATTATGTAAACACAGAGCACAGAGGCGCATCTAAAAGATAAATATAAAACAGATTGCCAGCTGCCTGATTGCGGGACAGCTGTGGTGAGCTGCGATCCACGAGCGCATAAAAAAACCAGTAGATGCCTAGAGCCACCGTCAACCAAGCCGTCACCGGCATGCAATAAATACGAGGCTGCGGGCGCGGTTAGCTCATTCGTTCAGACACTGCGCTGCCAGTCGAACACACGGGATTGGCGGCGCCTGCCGACGCCCCCGGCCGCCCCGGCGCCCCGCTGAGCGCTTGGACGGTTTGGCACGGCCCGCACTGCCATCCACTTTGTACACACGACCCGGGCGCGGCGGACGGGGCCGGGCGCCCGGGGACCGCTCCCCGGCTCAGACACAACAACGAGGGGACGTCAGACCGTAACAGACACACACACACACCACCACAGAGGCAGGCCGGCCGTCCACAGAACGGACACTGGCTGCACGAGACGGCAGTGTGCGCCGCACCGACACACCAACACGAGACTCAGCCAGTATTGCATCGGAGGCGGTCGGCCGCGCCGCGCGCGCCCAGCTGCCTTTGGTATTCACTTGATCCCTCGAAAGCGCCGCGCTGACCCGTAGGCGCTCACTTACCGCGGTTAAGTACACAGACCGGCCCACCGATCGGCCGGCAGGCCCGGCAGAGAGCACGGGAGACCGGGTCGGGCCGGGCCGGGGACGGACTACATCTGGGCACACGCGGGTCAGGGGTCCCGCCGCCCGTAGCCGCCCGCCTGCGGGAATCGGCCGCCGCCGCGGGACTGACCGCCCCGCGAGCGGCCCCGGTCGCCGCCGCCGAAACGACGCCAGCTGTTGTCCTGCGGGACACGAATGAGGGGAATAAGCGTCAGGGTTTACCCAGCAATAACGGGAATTTCGTATTTTATTATGAATCGAACCTGTAAATGACACCTTGTGATTCGCAAGGATTGGCAATAAATAAACAGACATTAACGCAAACGATTTTTTTTTTTGCTCACAAGAATTCGCCACCCTAGTGCTATCGCACCCATGACTATGCCATGATCAAATGCCCTACAACCCCTGCACCACCCATCTCCAACCGAAAGACATCTCCCACACGCCCCTTCTCCCTTCCCCGACTGACCTGTCCTCCGCCGGCGCGCGCCGGCCGCCTCTCCCTGTCCAGTTCCAGATCCTCCAGTTTCTGGGTGAGCGTCAGCTTCTGCTGGATGGCCATGCGGAGGAGGCTGTTGAGCGTCTTCTTTTCCTCCTCGCTGCTGGCCACCTGGCGCTGCAGCTCGTCCACCTGAGTGACGTACTCCTCGCAGCGGGCGGCGAACATGGCCCGCAGACCTGGACGCGACAGCGGAGGCGGAAGAGTGTCAGAGACAGGTTAGTCACAAAGGTGGCCAGGGTAGTGCTAACATTGGAAAACATTCCTGATGTCCTTACCAGATTATGTCTGAACCACATCCAAGCGGTTAACTAGCGTCGATCAATAGTCAAACAACAGTCAAGACACCCAACAGTCAAACAGCCAACCCAAGCTCGCTCGATACCCACCACATTCCTGAATCCTGCCCAAATGTCACAACCACAGCTAAGCCTAGCCCCACTAGACCCCGTCACGCTGTACCACTCACTGGAGAATGTGGCGGCGTCCTCCTTGAGCAGCCGCAGCTCGTTGCGCAGCTTCATCATGGTCTCGCTGACGATGGTCTTCTCGTTGACGTACTTGGACTTGAGGTTGGCCAGCGCCACCTCGGCCGTCTGCTTGTTGGCCTTGAGCACGGTGCGCAGGGTGGCGATCTGCTCTCGCTTGGTCGACAGCAGCGACTTGAGCTTGATCACCTGGCGGATAGGGACAGAGAGTATAGATGAAACAGCCAGAACCGCAATATGACGATCGCGCACATCGAACTTGCCCCGAATCGCCAACACCCGTCGTAAATCCCCGCCAACTATTATTTTCTCTCATCTCGCCCCGGGTAGTCCCCTGTCAGACACTGCCCAAATACACTAAGTTCCTTCTCCCACGCCCAGTCCTCGTTCCCGCACCGTCCTATCGGAGAGGTACGGCCCTCCAGCAAAAGAGTGGTTGGTTAGCCTATGTGCTTTTAGTGTAATAACTTTAAATGACAGAGACACTCCTGTAAAATGACCCAATACAAATGAGAAGAGGGCTCGTGCACACATTTCGGCAGTGGTTTTCAACAGCCATTAGACGTATTCATCAACGCAGATCAATTATTTTGATGTTGGCAACCAACCACTTAATACCTGGAGGGCCGCACAGCCTGCACCCCGCACGCACCTGTTCCTGAAGCTCCTCGACCTGGAGCTGGTCGCCGTCCCCGTCTCCGTCTGTGGCGGCGGCGCGCGGCCCGGTGCCAGTCTGCTTGCTGGCCTCCATAGCGTGCTCGACGGCGCGGCGCAGGTACTTGACCTGGTCCGTGATGGTCTCCATCTGACGAACAGGAAAAGACGCGGTATAATTAAGATGAATTTTGATAAATAATTTCCTAAAGGGTTAGACATCCGTTGATGCATCCATAAACATCTTAGCCGATACAGTAAACTGTAGTGACCAACCATAAGTAGGCACCCACAGCAGCTGCGTTGCAAGCTCTCCACTGACGCCCGTGTTCTGACCTGCTTGGCGACCTGGGTGGGGTCGGCCGCCTCGCCTTCCTTGAGTGGCTTGGCCACCTTCAGTGAGCTCATCAGCTGCTCGAACTTGGTGGGCGCAAACGAGTTCTGCGGCGAGCCCTCTCGGCTGGGGCTGCTCTCGCCTGCCAGGGACGCAAAGCCAACAGTCACGGGTACGGTGGGCGTGTGAAGCGCTTGGGAAAATAGAGCAAGTCATTCCAAATGGACAAAATGTTCAAATAGAATCATTCGTGAGCGGAAAGCTTTCGTTCAGCCTCCCAAAACCTTCCTCCTGTTTCACCTACCGAGGTTTTTGACGTTCTGCATGTGCTCGAGCATGACGCGGTGCGGCGTCTGTCCGTTGGCCAGGCAGACCTGGTGGTAGAGCTGTGCCAGCTCCTCGCTGACACCCATCAGCTCCTCCTGGCTGCTGCCCAGCGTGGCCTGGGTCAGCGCCGTCAGCTGACTCAGCAGGGACAGGTCCGACTGCAGGTCCGACACCTTCGACTCCGACTCCGACAGGCGACTCCGCAGCGAGGAGACCTGGGGGACGGAGGGGACCGGTCAGTCACTGATATCCGTCTCTAGTGGGATAAAAGCACACCGCCATACTAGTGTTTCCCTACAGCAGCCTAAATACAGCAGACCGCAGCTCCTGGTATCCAGTTACCTCGTTCCTGAGCGTGACGACGGCCTCGGACGAGTTGCACTCTGAGGCCTGCATGTCCCTGATGTCAGTCTGCAGTCGGCTGATCTCCAGCATGGCCAGCTGGTGGCGCTGGCGGTGCTTGTCCAGCACCTGAAGAATAACGGACTGAGGTCAGAGGGCGACAACCCGGGCCTCGTGTGTGTCGGGAGTAGGAACAGGATTCGACGGATGGTGTTAGTCACTGAAGTGTGAACGGCGCTGGGTGGGGGTTGAGATTCAACAGAGGTTTCAATTACATCACGTCAGTTGGAAAATACCCTTCCGATGAAACCTACATCCCGCTTTCCTCCAGGTTTGAACCACTCCAGCCTACTCTCACCATCTCCATCTCTGACCTCCCTGACTGACCTGTTCGACCTTTGCCAGCTCCGGTGAGGGAGGCGCGGCGCCGACGGTCGGCGGCAGGCTGTCGCCCTCCTCCTCCTCGTGCAGTGCCATCAGCGCCTCCACGTGGGCCACCAGCTGGGCGGCGTGCGCGCGCTGCGACTCCAGGTCGGCCCGCGCCCGCTCCAGGCTCTCCTGGTTGTCCCGCAGACTGCGGGTCAGCTGAGCCTTCTCGGCGTCCGCCTGTAGGTGTCAGAGGTAGCGAGGGTCAGATAGGGGGTGAGGGGAGGTCATAAATGTCGCCTATGGTATGAAAGCCGCAAAATTATGGGCAAGACAAGTCATAGCGATGTGGAAAGCTGGCTTAGAGGGAAAACATATAACCGAGAAAAAAACTCATGTCTGCAGACGATACTCGCAAACCATTGTCTAACTTATTTGAATTCGCTAGTGCAGGATTTTTACCTATAAGTAGGAAACAATTAACAGGGGAGCCAGCAGGACCTGTATCGTCCAACGTAAAAAATATATGTAGCTGTTACGAACCAAACTGTGGCAAGAAAATAAGCAGCTGCCGTCTGGAACGATGTTAAGAAGATAAACATCGACTTGCGACCGGAACGCAACCAAGGCCTGGGCCCGGGCGTCGCACCTGTTCGAGCTGTTTCTCGAGCTTGCGCAGCTCGTTGAGGTGGATCTCTGAGAACAGGTCGCCCACGTGGCCGGCCGGCTTCTGCTGTTTATCGGCGCTCGAGTCAATGATGTCGGCCTCGAGCCGCTTCAGCGCCGGCTGGTCGTCCTCGCCCTCGCTCTCCGTCTGAGGCTCGCCTGTGAACGGTCGGATGAAGTTCAGCCTTTGGTATAACTCTCGACCTGAGGTCACCTGCAACGGTTGAAGGTGGTCACCTGCAAAATACGAATATCGTGCGTGCAAAGTTCGCCTGGCGATGGTAAAATGAATGTAAAAATAACCTAACATTAGCACAGATAGTGCAATAGAATGTTGTTTGGCGACAAAATTATCAAAAGCATATCAAACATCACCAAGTACTTTATCAATTAGGCGAAGTTGACGTCATATCGACGATGGAGCGAAGGCCTGATACTCTATGCTGTTTACAGGACGCATGGCAGCTTTGTGAACAGCACAAAAGCAAAACATTCACGTAAAGACGATTACGGCTCAAATTGCCCCTAATTCTCAGCTGAATCATATGAAATCACGCCCCGTCATGACACACCATTTCCATCGAGTCACGACACCGATTGCAATCACACCGGCCCAGACACGACTGGACGCTGGGTCCCCACGCGCACGGGGTCGGGTCAAGTCCGGATAGTTCGGAACACGTCCCGTCAGCGCCGGAACACTGGACAGCGCCGGGAAACTGACCCATTCTCAGGGTGGAGAGCGCCAGGTTGCTCAGGTTCAGCATCGACTCGGAGTTGATCCGCTTGTCCAGCTCCCGCTTCAGTGCGTACTTGGCCTCACGCTCGCCCTGGCACAAACAAAGACGTGTTTTCTTTCTCAGTAAACGGCGAACGTGCGATGCTCGAGTGTAGAAAAAAATCAGCCTAGATCTGACAAGCAACTGGCATTATTTGTCATCATGGCTCATAACTCTGGCACAACCTATGCGTAGCGAATATTGCAATGGCAGGCACTGCTGGGGTCAGCTGACGTGGTAACCAGACATAGTGTGCATCGTTTTAACAATCCCTCCCTGGGCTGACTGGTTGGCTCGGAGATCAGCCGCCCCGGCGCGGCGTCTCACCTGGAGCGCCTCGAGCGCCTCCTCCATCTGTTTCTCGGCGATCCGTTTGAGCGCCGTCTGCTCCTCCACCTGTCCGTTGAGCACGTCCACCTCCTCCAGCAGCCGGCGAGCCTCGTGCTTGGCAGACTCAAACTCCACCTGGACGGCAGGGCGAGAGGAAGGGGAGCAGTTCAGTGGTGAGAATGAAAATACGCAACTTAAATCGCGATCTAGGAGCGACTGTCATCCAAAAAAAAAAAAATACACTGGCTATCGCTAAATTTCGGTTATCTGCAGCATTTGAGCAGCGTGAAACAAAAACCATCGCATGCTACACGTTTTGAGTCAATTCTGGTCAATGCTCATATGTAAATAATCATCCACAGGGCACAACACCCTGTTCTGCTCATGCCATGTGCTTCCACAGCACGCCGTCCGACACTGCTGGCGCTGCTCTCCCACACCCGCCGCGTACCTGTGAGCTGCGGAGCGCCGACACCTGCTTCTGCAGGGTGATGTTCTCCTCCTCGAGCTCCGAGTAGTCCTGCAGCAGGCGCGTCTCGCGGTACTTGAGGTCCTTCAGCTCGGAGCGCAGGTTGCGCCGCTCCAGACTGGTGAGGTCGCGGTCCTTGCCGAGGTCGTGCAGCTCGCGCTGGGCGGCCTCCTTCTCGGCGAGCAGGCGGGACACCTCCTGGCGAGCCTGTGCGTGGGGGCGGCGCCGGGCGTCACGGGGAGTACGCCATACAGCCGCTTATTCTGGGCGGGTGACATTGGACAGCGCTACAATTGGATACAAGTACAGAACCAGACTTCCTGCCCATCCTGTCACAATAGCTCCTGATCAAAACTTGCTGTGACTCCAGTCACTGAGTTCTGATCGCTAAGGCGCCCATTCCTCCCGCACCGCTCACCTGGCGAGCATCCATCTCCAGCTCCAGGATCTGGGAGTTGAGCGATGTCTCGCGGGCGTGCGACTCAGACAGCATGCTCTCCTCCTGCTCAATGCCTGAGCGGGTGGACTGCTCATGGCTGGTCTGGAACTTGGCCAGAGCCTGCAAAATGAGAAAGATAATGCTGTAATTGGGTGTTAACTGGCTTCAGGAATGGGTACAATGATTGGATTCAAAAGATGACAAATATGAAACTTTGGATAAACAACCTACTAAACACTTTCAAATGAATTTACAGATAGGTATACTTTGTCAGAAGTAAATCAGCAAAACTACCAACCACAGTTAGAAAAGTAGTTTATAAATTTGTAAAAGAAACAATTTTGTTTAACAAAAATCAAGCAACAATAATCCACTCTTTCTTTTAGCCAAATAGCAACTGAACAGATATGCTGGAGCAACCACTAAATTTGCATAAAGTAGTGGTCAAGGCTTTAGTGGCAATTGAAGAATTAACATACCTAGTCTAAAAATTGTCCCAGGTGATAGCTATTGAGATTCTTGGGCCAGTGGAGATGGCATTTCCTTTGTTTTTGGTTGCAAACCATAGTCTATTGATACTTGTACAACTATGAAGTTTGGAACGCAGGCAATCAGCTTGACTCCACAGGATTTAAGCCACTGCTGTAGTTCTTTAAATTCTGATCATCACATGTTTTATTTCAACTGGTTCTCAGAATCAAATATCTTTAAGAGCATTGTTTAAAGAGAAATCAGAAAACTAAATTAAGGCAATATGAACTGAGATTCTCTTAGGCCTAATTGTTAGCTTTAATATTTGGCAATACATTGTTTATTTGAAGTTAAGATTTATCATTTTACATGCATTGAGCCCTTATGATCTGCTATCTTTTGTTAAACTCTTATATTTCTAAAATATAAGAGTTAAACAAAAAAAAAAGATCTACCTAAAATGCTAATGCTAATGCTAAAAGATCTACCTCATATACATTTGAACTCTACTATTGCCTCAAAAACTGGCTTGAGATCTTGAGAAGGCAGTGCCCCCTAAGTCCTAACCATTATCCAAGGCTTCCTTTAGTTGGCACTTGGCTTCCTTGTGCCTTGCTTTGCACGAATTGCATAAATTTTGGGCACTGCTGAAAGGTGGAATACCCCTCTAGCCTGTGAATATAGTCAGGTGTAAATACTGGAAAGCTAGTATATGCACAATATAATTTAAGATTACCTACCAATTCAGTTTTTAATTCCTTCTAAATAAATAGGTAGGCAATGGACATGTGGAAACAGGCAAACAATGATAATAATGATTTATTGAAGACCAAATGGGTAGTATATGAATGTTTAGACACAGAGAACAAGATGAGGAATAAAGATGTTGCAAGCATTATCTTCTACTGATACGTATTGAAATATAAACTACACGGGCTCACTTACACACATTTTGCTGGGAATGAGATTTATGAAGCATTGTTTCTGATGATCTTACTGCATTTCAACACTATATATAATAAAATAATTGAACCATTGGGCCTGGATGGCCTGCAAGATCATTATGGCATCACAGATGGTCATTTGCATATTGATACCCACCTCTCTAGTGATAATGAGATCATGTTTGGAGTTTTCATATGCTGCCTCGAGTTCTTCACATCGTTTGGAAAGTGCCTCCTTCTCTTCTAACAGTGCAAGACCATACTGAGCTGACTGGATCTTGTCACTGCTGGCTTCATCGAGTTCTCTCGTCAGCCTCTCGATTTCGGCTCTGAGCGAGGCCACGTCGTCCATTGCAACCTCCATGGTTGTCTTGATTGTCAAGTCTCACATAAAATACATGTCACAAAAGAGGATGAATCGATTACTTAAAATCGACAGCTATTTCGAGCTAGAACAAAATAAATACTAAAATATCAGGACGGCAAGACGAGGAGGCGTCGGCGGCCAACCCTACACCGACACCGCCAAGGCCGACACCGCCGTGACACCGCCCAAGGCCCTATATACACCGCCCATGAATGTTATCGTTGTCCCCTACTGTTATTCGCTGCGCGTTGAACGTCTCTCTGCGCCAGAAGTGTCCTCATTGAATAGTGGCGAGGAATAGCAGCCTAGAGATGAGCTAAGGTGGGCATTTTGAATCGATAATATTTTTATGTTCACAGTTGACGCCAAGGCCATAAATAGGGTTGACGCTATGGAAAGTCTATTGAAGCAAATGATCACCATTCTGTTGCGCGGTCCGTCCGAGCTTACGGTCAGCCTCGCTTCACCCCAATGCCACGGCCGGCCGTCTGGTGAGACTTGCGAGCCCCCTCGCAGCCCTAGACCATAGGCGGCGGAACGGGGAGGGCACCGGGGCACCGTGCCCCCTTTGATTTTTGCATTTTAACATTAGCCCTATGGGCGTTGCATGGAAAGAATGGGACCAAAAGTCGGCAGTGCCCCCCCCTTAATTGAAGGTGTTCCGCCACTACTGCCCTAGACGGAGCAGAAAACAGCGAACAGGAGCGGATTACTTTTCGAAGGTGGTTCCCAATTCCCATGTACCTAAGCCCGATCGGATGCTCACGAGGCGGGGGGGGGGGGGGCGGGGGGTCGTTTCTATGCCGGCTGATGGCCCGTACCTATGGCCTACGGGATGTTTCTATGTCCCTCCCCAGTAAACATGCCGACGTCGGCCCGACGTCGGGGTGACGTCGGCAACTCGGCATCAGCATGCCGACGTCGGCCCGACGTCGGTCCAACCTCGGCACGACATCGGCTGGACGTCGGATATGCCCGCATGTTCCGACGTCCAGCCGAAGTCCAGCCGACGTCGGGCCGACGTCGGACCGAGATCAATTGCTGAGGTCCAGCCGACGTCGGGCCGACGTCGGGGCGACGTCGGACCGACATCGGCCGCTGTTTTGACCGTTAAAATAATATAAAATACATGTTTCATGCTTCATAAAGAGCTTCTGTATTCAAAATATCCTCAGGAAACTCAAATCTTCATACACGCCGCAACCCCCTGATCCGGACTGGACGGGAAACTTTATCCCATTTGGGATTGCCCGTAAGCCGAGCTCGCCCGTAGCCGGGTGCGGTGAGTGCTTGGGGGCTGCTCGGCCTATCCTTTGGTCAGGCTCAGCCCTGGCAACTCACCAGGGCCGGGCCCAGTTCATATAGAAAGGCCAGTCGGCAAGTGTCACTTTGCCAAAGGGACACTTATCAAAGGGACACTTTGGGAAACGTTGGTGCAGGTGTGTAAGAGTGGCTATATGAATCCATTGTGGGGTCGCGCTTTCCAATAAGTGTCACGTAACAGCAATGGGACCAGGGACTCTATATGAACTGGACCCAGGGTGCTCGCCAAGAAGACCAATGTCTCCATCCTATCATCCTTCCGGCTCTGAAATGGTCTTGTCAGACCGAAAGGGTATAACCCAACAAAACAAACTAAATTGGCCATCTGGCTGCGTGGTGTAGTGGTTAGCGCACTAACCTCGCGTTAAAATGACACGGGGTTCGAATCCCATCGCCGGATGATGTTTTTGACGTGTTGTCCCAGTAAACATGCCGACGTCGGCGACTTGGGGGCTCGAATCCCGCCGCCGGTTGATATTTTTGGCGCGTTGTCCCAATAAACATGCCGACGTCGGCCCCGTCGGTCCAACGACCAACGATCTCGTCAACCTCGGCAAACGACCTCGGCCCGACGTCGGCTCGACGTCGGCTGGACTTCGGCTGGACGTCGGAACATGCGGGCATATCCGACGTCCAGCCGATGTCGGGCCGAGGTTGAACCGACGTTGGGCCGACGTCGGGCCGAGTCTCGGCCCGACGTCGGGCCGACGTCGGCATGTTTACTGGGGATCCTCTGTTCCCTTTTTCAGAATAGTGCCACAGTTTTTGGCACACCTTATGTGTCCTATGGATTATGATACGTCTTTTAAAATCTTCTATGTAGGAGCACAGTCCTCTTAAACCCAGGCTCCACTACGCGATTTTTCCGAGCGATTTTGCGATATCGCGATATCGCGCTATCGCAAAAATTTCAGAATTCTGAATTTTTTTGCGATAGTGTAATAATGCGAGAACGATATTGCGTGATAATTAATAATGCGATTTCCTCAGTGTGGCTCAGCGCGTCCGTTTGCACTGTAGATGAACATTTTCGTGGCATCGCATTCTCGCATTATCGCAAAATTGAAAATCGCTTGGAAAATCGTGAAGTGGATAACTAGCTTTGAGTAGCTAGATTAGAGTAGCTAGCTGTGGTGTAGGTAGGCCGGTTTACATAGCCTTGGGTAGGCCTGACTAGTGACTATGAAGTAGTTAAAACGCCGTCCTTATACAATCGTACTGCATTGTCGACTGTCGTAGGCTGCACTACACATTTGTGCTGACAGTCGACGGATTTAGGGTTAATTGTAGGCATAATTGACAAACTCAACGCGTTTTCCTTTTGATGACAATATATTATGACCAATCAACAAGATGCAATGTCATAGCACGCGGTACCTATGTACCTACTGCTAAAACACAGCCATGGCATGGCACACCGACATCGTCACTGATACCTAAGGAAACGCAAAACGAATCATATAACGAGGAATAATCACAGCCTTGATGACAATTGACAACAATCAACCATTTGTTTACGTGAGTCAGTCGAGTCAGACACCTGGCATCAGCGCATTTTACCTACCGATAGATGACCGGTCTCATTATTTCTGGAGGCACATTTGTACGAGTTATGGATTACGAATATCCACCGAGAGCGAGCACTGGCCCAAGGCTCAACAACGTGACTATTCGAACTGTTTTGTCTACATCGGAGGCGGAGGCGGCGGAGGAGGAGGTGACCCTGCCTCCGTGTCCCCGGACTCCCACGCGGACGTGTCCGAACCCAACGTCACACCTCCAGCCGCTGCAGCTGCCTCCTCGCCGACACCCTCTTCTTCCTCGTCCTCGGGTGTGACGCCGAGCTCGGCCAGCGAGACGCCGGCCTCGCGCACCGTCTCCGCGTCCATGTCTCCGCTGCGGAGGTAGGCGGCCACCTCGGCGGCCTCCTTCCGCATGGTCCTGCGCGCGAACCACAGGTATCCGCCGCAGAACACCGCCAGGCCGCCGACCAGCACGGCCAGACTGATCCACAGCCGGATCCCGTGCAGCTCCGTCATCTTCTGGTAGAAGATGGACTCGCGGAGGTCGGTCATCCAGGTTCTGCGTGCCAGAATCCGGACCCGCTGCCAAGCGGTCGTCCAGGTGAGATTCAGCGCCGTGGCCGAGACCTGGCACTCCCAGACACCGGCGAGGGCGGACGTGGCGCGCTCCGAGAAGAGGTCCGTGTCCGAGGGCGATGTCACGCCGAGGTCGCGGAACAGGTGACCGTTGAGCAGCCAGCGTTGAGACAGCTCCGAAAACACCAGTCCCACCATGTCAATGTGGCAACTGAACTCGAGCCGGTCCCCTTCGCGCACCCGCAGCGTCGGTTCCGGCGAGCGTACGATGAGCGCAGTCAGCTGCGCGGTGTGCTCGTCCCGCACCGGCTCCGGAGTCACCAGGTTACAGATGTAGACCCCGGTGTCGTCCGGAGTCAGTCCCTCACGATAGAGATCGCCGCCACTCATGTCCACCCATCGGTACAGGTCTATACGACTCCGGTTAAAGTACCATCGCGTCTCCAGATCGGGCATGGCGTTGCGAGCCAGCTCAGCGGCGAATCCCGAGCACGTCAGTCGCACGCCGCCGCCGGCGTAGCGTGTCACCGTCACCGCCTCTGCTGTGCGCATCGCGTCACGCAGACGGTCCACCATGTCCGGGTTGAACTCGCCACACTTGAAGTCGTTACAGACGCCCATTTCGAACGGCTCGCCCTCGCAGAAGTGACCCCAGAAGTTAGGCGGTGGACTGCGGCAGTGCCGGTCACGGGCGCCGAAACCGCCATCGCAGGGAGCGCTGCAGTCCCAGGGAGACCAGGCGTCCCAGCCTCCGTCCACACGCTCCACGTCGAACTTCTCTGGTGGCGTGCAGTTGAAGGCCACGTTGACAGGCTGCTGGCAGTGTTCTGTAGCAGCCGCGTGGTAGGATACTGGCAGAAACGCCTTCAGACGGTCGTTGTAGTCTTTAATGTTGAGATCACCAATTATCCTGCCGCCCACCGCATCCCAAATGCTCCAAGAAACTGATCCTTCTGAGCGACTGGATTCAAACTTGACATCGTAGTGTGTCCAGCACTCGCCGCAGTCGTTGTTGGGTCCAGTGAAACGTTTCGGTTTTGACTCGTGTACCTTGCCGCTGCTTCCCTGTTTGTAGTGTCTGAGCTGCACAGAGACATCCTCGCCCTGCTCGATGGTAAACACCACATCGGAAGCCGACGACATGCCAAACGGACTCTCGCTGAAGGTGAGGCTCATTCCACCACGCTTACGCCCGCTGGCGCACTGACCATTGCTTGGCGGGAAGTCGTCCGTCCAGCGAATGCTGACGCGCAGTTTGATGCTCCAGCGGTCGGGCCCAGGTGCTTCTGGTGTTAGATAGTGTTCGTACAGGCGTGATTGGGATGTGAGATACCACACAGGACAGCGTGAGCCGCAGCCCCAGTCAAGTGCCATCACATCTGCGCTCGAAAAGCTGATAAAGTGGAAAACATCGCTCGTACTTGTCGGGTTGCGCTTTATTGGGGCAGTCAGAAGCGGATTGCGGAAGTCTTTGTCCTTCCCGAATCGCACTTCGTCGTCATCAACACCGATCCAAACGTACTGAAGTCCAAGGACTCGGATTAGACCCGGAAATACCTTGAATATGAGCGACGTGTGCTCACTTTCTGTCTTCGCTTTATATTTGATCTCAACCTGGAATCCAATTTCAATAATGAGGGACTCCCGGTCCGATGCATCACTAGGAAGGTCGGTAAATTCGACAAGCAAGCTTCCGTCACCCTCATCGGAGGCAACACTCATGTGGCGTAAGCCGAACAACAGCATCT